ATTGTAGTAAATACTGTTAACGAAAAACCCTAATGTTTACAACATAATTAAGGAAAGATTTTATGTAATACAATTTTTATGTGGTCGAGGTAGTAGCCCGATTCAGACAATTTTTACGATTGTGTTCGACCTGACGACATAAACCATACTTTCTTTCCAGCTTGTCAAGGGAGTCCATTTCGGTTGTGATGCTTTTACTTTTGGGACGACCCTTTTTGTTCCTTCGCATTTGGTCATTGTGCCATACTATTTCACCGTCGTATACAGGCCAATAATCTGGTTTTGCTACCAAAGGGAAGCTGTTGTTGTAAACGTTGAGCAACGTTTCAGATTTGTAAATGTGTGACAGAAGTTGTAGCGCGTCTTGATGAGTATAACCACACGCGGAAATGACATGAGAGCAAGGCATACAAAAGGCTTGAAACTTGCCACAATCGCACCAACGAAAAGGCAGTACAACCCTATATTCTTGTCTTGGCAGACCCTCATTGTGGTTGATTGTCTCTTTCACAATGAAGTTGTGGCTGTGTCAGTCAAACTGTATAACCATATGGGTGTTGGCTTTGGCACTTTCTGCCTTAATGTACTTCATGCAGATTTCACTCCATAGTTGTCCAGATTGCAACACCGCATTCCATATTTCACCTCTTTTGGCAAACAACGAAGTCATCCTAAAATACGTAGATTTTACCAAAGCAGTGACCAGGAGATTTCGTATGCCTTTGAATACCCCATTCACCGATTCAATTAGATTTGTTGTCATGTGCCCCCATCTTTGGACATTGTCGTATGACCTAGTCCATTTTTCTACTAGAATATTATCGATCCACCTACCGGCTTCCGGATTTGACAAATGGATCTCGTCCAATAGTGTTACCTATGCTGTCACCTAGCCTACGCCTACTCTGCAACCCATGCCACCTCTTATTCTCCAATGGGGATGGCATCACCTTTCATTTTTGTACTCTTTCTCCAAGTCCAATGACGCCTCCCTTCACGTCCAATCGTGTTACATTCATTCAGGGATGCCTTCTCCAAGGCTGTCACCTAGTCTGCGCCTACTCTGAACCTACACTGTAACCTCTAAGGCTCCTCCCATCACCTCTAATAGTGTTACATGCATTCAGGGATGCCTTCTCCAAGGTTGTCACCTAGCCTGCGCCTACTCTGAACCTACACTGTAACCTCTAAGGCTCCTCTCATCACCTCCAATAGTATTACATACATTCAGGGATGTCTTCTCCAAGGCTGTCGCCTAGCTTGCGCCTACTATACAACCCATGCCACCTCTTATTCGCCAATGGGGATGGCGACACCTTTCATTTTTGTACTCTTTCGCCAAGTCCAATGGCGCCTCCCTTCATGTCCAATCGTGTTACATGCATTCAGTGATGCCTTCTCCAAGGTTGTCACCTAGCTTGCGCCTACTCTGAACCTACACTGTAACCTCTAAGGCTCCTCCCATCACCTCCAATAGTGTTACATGCATTCAGGGATGCCTTCTCCAAGGCTGTCACCTAGCCTGCGCCTACTCTGAACCTACATTGTAACCTCTAAGGCTCCTTCCATCACCTCTAATAGTGTTACATACATTCAGGGATGCCTTCTCCAAGGTTGTCACCTAGCCTGCGCCTACTCTGTAACCCATGCCACCTCTTATTCGCCAATGGGGATGGCGACACCTTTCATTTTTGTACTCTTTCGCCAAATACAATGGCACCTCCCTTCACGTCCAATCGTGTTACATGCATTCAGGGATGCCTTCTCCAAGGTTGTCACCTAGCCTGCGCATACTCTGCACCTACACTGTAACCTCAAAGGCTCCTACCATCACCTCCAATAGTGTTACATGCATTCAGGGACGCCTTCTCCAAGGATGTCACCTAATATGCGCCTACTCTGCAACCCATGCCACCTCTTATTCGCCAATGGGGATGGCGACACCTTTCATTTTTGTACTCTTTCGCCAAGTCCAATGACGCCTCCCTTCATGTCCAATCGTGTTACATGCATGCAGAGATGCCTTCTCCAAGGCTGCCACCTTACCAGCGCCTACACTGCAAGAGTGACACTTATCATGCATGCATGCACCACCTACCACCTCACTTACTCTATGAATTTTTTTTGCCTATAAATACAAAGCATAACATACTTCTCTCGCACCCACAATAGTCTCACTCTCTGCTACAAACTCTTTCATAATATCTTACAATTTCTAAGTCTTTCCTAATCTCAGGCATTTTCAACAATGACTCTTCTCACAATGGGCGATTCTCACAGAGGCACAAGGGACAACATTGCAGCATTTGTAATTTTCTTTTATAGTTATACATTTTTCATACTTCTGGTAATGCTTTATTCATCTTACTTAATCTCACACCTTTTACATTATTAACTCAGGATACCAAAAGATTTAGAATCCGGTCTCACAACTACCTTGCTCCCGACCCATTTATCATACCATATCTGGAATACGCATGTTTCAGATATGTTATAAAGATCTCCAACTGCATAATTTATTCAAAGTTCATACTTGCAATATTGGAAAGGTGGAGACCAGAGACCCATACATTTCACCTGCCAATAGGTGAATATACCGTCGCGCTAGAGGACGTGTATATGTTACTGGGTCTCCCTGTCAACGGTAAGGCCATTAATGGGTCGGTTCAACAACCCAATTCTCTGTGTGAAGAAATGTTGGGCAGGGATATGGTTGAAGGTGATGGTGCGAGAGGTCAGGGTATACTACTAACTGAGCTTAAAAATCATTATGCAACTTTGGAATTAAATGGAAATTCCTCCGAGCAAGACAGAGTAATAAAATCTAGAACTTATCTAATAATACTATTTGGAACCTTTTTATTTCCCGAAAGTACAAGAAATAGTGTAAATTTTATGTATTTAAATTTACTTAGAGACTTCGAAAAAACTAGAAAGTATAGTTGGGGTTCTGCTGTTTCAGCCCACCTATACAATTCCTTGTGTAAAAATGCAATCAAGGAAAAATGTACATTTTATGACTGCACTTTTTTACTTCAAGCCTGGGGTTGGTGGAGGATGGAGTCCCTAAACCCCATCAACAACAACACATTTGTTTTTCCGTACGCAACAAAGTAAGTCATCAAGTTATATCATTTATTACCATTCATCTCTTCACCAAATATATGCTAAAAATAAAATATTTTTCATTTCCTTTAGGTATTGCGTGAGGGGTGTGGATTACGGCAAGAATCCAAAATTCAATGTCGCACTATACAGTAATCTATTGGATCACCTAGGTCCGAATGATGTACGTCGTACCTTTCAACTTTTCTACTTTTAAATTATTTATATATTACGTTTTCATTAACCTGGTTTAATTTTATGCGCAGTTTGTCTGGAGACCATATTTGGGTTTGGGCCATGAACCAAACCCCGATGATGCAGTAATTTGGAGCGCCAAGACTGCAATCATACGATTCAATGTTGTGGAGATGCACCACATCAACCGTGTGAAGATGCATTTCGGAATATATCAAAAGATACCCAGTGATCCGACTTGTCTGTCCCCGTGGCATCTCAAAAGGGTCGATGCCCAATGAGGTCTTACCAACTGGAAAGACTTTGCTCCAGAATGGTGTAAGATATGGCAGAGGCGTCACCGACATGTCTTGCAATTCTCGGTTTTCCTCAATCATCATAATATGCGACACACAGATCAGTATTTATCTTGGTACAGATCGGTTAGTAACCCTGAAATATACGTGTCTCATCCAAGGTATTTGGTTGACCCACGAACACAATGGGCACAACCCTCATTTCCCCAACAACAAACCCAACACACATCAACCTCCCACCAACCCCCCAGACAAAACAGAACCACAAACACTCAACCACAGTCGCCACCACAATACAATTATCCCTATATGCCCCACACCCAACCGCAATTCCAATCACAATACCAACACACCCGCATACTCCACACACAATTTCAGTCTTCTATTATCCCAATATGCCCCCCTCAACATCCAACCTTAGCCCTGATCTGGGAATGTCGGAAGATTATGAACCAACCGACCCAACTTACCATCAACCACAATATCACCAAATCACCCAACATCCTCAATACCAAACACCCCAAGATCCATTTCCTTTCTACCCCCATACTCAGACGATCAATGCTATAGACCAACCATGGAACCCCACCCACCGCCAACATGACCAAATTTTATGGGTATGAGTAACCGACTGTACCAAAGCGGATCTTCTAGATATGGAGATCTGACTGATTTCATGGATCTGGAACGCATTGACTTCGCTGGGCCATCGACCCTGCCACAACAGGAAACGCGATGACACCCAGCACGAGAAAGGCGAGGACGGGGATGCGGAACCGGGGGTCATTACCGGGTTCTGGGAGACCATTGATTAATCTGTTTTTTTATGTAATACTTATGGGTGTAATCATTTTTTGTAAATAAAAAATCAATTTTGTTGATCCTATATCGAATACGTAACGCACTAGATTGAAAAAAAAACGCGAAAATTATCCTAAGAAATGCACTAAGGCGCCATCTCACTTGGCTTAGGGCAAACCATAAGCACCTAGGCGCCAAGTGAGATGACGTCTCCCCTTAAAAAGTAGGTGTAAGTGTCAAGTGAGATGACTCATTCTTTAGAGAGTCATCTGAAATATGATTATTTGCGTAATTTTTTTTGAAACATTATTACTTACGATTTTTTTTTTAATAACTGATTATTCCAAAAAAAAATTCTAATATATGCCAATCATATATATTTATATCTTTGTACTATTATTTAGCAATTTTAATTTATTTATCAAAAAGAAAATTCAACCAACCAAATATCCACCCTGATTCAGTAACCGTAAAAGCGCCCAGATTCAATATTAAAAAGTAAAAGCTGCTTATATTCTTTCTTTTTCTTCCGTGATTTCCTCCACTCACTATATTCTTTCTTTCTTCCAAAATTCCCTCTTCACAAGAAAATCAATTCTCCGCATGCCGATTTCCATCGTAGACCGTAACGGCCAACACGTCAGCATGCGTAGCATCATCTCCGATCCCACACCAATTCCAACTCCTCTCGCCATCACCATCGTCGACCACTACCTCCCTCACGACACCCACAACACCTACGCCATCACCCTCGATTCAACCGTCACCATCCAAACCCTCCTCACCAACTCCCCTTCCCACGTCGAATCTTGGATCCTCGAAACCCAAACCCAAACCCAAACCCTCTCCCTCGCTTCCCCCACCACCATCGGCCTCGACATCGAGTGGCGCCCAAACTTCCAACGCGGCCAATCAAACCCCGCCGCCACACTCCAGCTCTGCGTCAACAACCGCTGCCTCATTTTCCAGATCATCCACTCCCCTCACATCCCCACCTCCCTCTTAACCTTCATGGCTAACCCTAACAACAGATTCGTTGGCGTCGGGATTGAATCCGACGTCGAGAAGCTTATCGAAGATTACAACATCTCCGTTGCGAATTATGTTGATTTGAGGAACCTTGCTGCTCAAGTGTTGGAAGATCGCGCGATGCTGATGTTCGGGATTAAGAGACTGGCGGAACGGGTTCTTGGGAAAATTGTTGAGAAGCCGCAGAGGATTACCAGGAGTAGGTGGGATAATCCATGGCTTAATGTTGATCAGGTTAAGTATGCTGCAGTTGATGCTTATATTTCGTTTGAGATTGGTCGTCGTCTCTACTCTAATCAGGTTATTGAATGATCATGATGATGGTTTCTCTGTTTTCTGCCGTTTTGATTTCTTTACTGTCGTTTAGTTGTTAGTGGTTTTTAGGTTAATATTTGGGGATCTTGTTTTTCATTCTATTTGTGTCAACTGAATTGCTGACGGTTATTCTGTATCAGACTTGTTGAAGCTAAACAAAAAATGTTACAGTATCAATTAAATTTGTTATGATTTCTTGGGTTTATATTATTTGTTCAACTTTTTTTTTCAACATAATCTTTGTACTGGTTTCACTGAAAATGATTTTTTTTTCATTCAAGCGCCATCCCATTCTAAAACAAGATTCGAATTTGAAACAAGAACTTTTAAAAACTAAGAACAAGAAGATTAGAGGTCTCTTGATTGATAAATAAATGTTGCATGCATTCTCATGGCTAATTAGTTTATTATAGTTTTCTTTAAATGAAAATTTGATATATCTTTTAGTGAATTTAGTAGTAAAAGTAAACATGGGACTATGAGACTTAACAATTATCTAGGGTGACTTAGACTATTTCAAGCGCTTAGTTCGCCCTTGCCATGAATTATTTTATCATAGAACATACAATAAAATTATCGAAGTACAAATTTTTGGAATTATAAATTGATAATTGTTCAAGTCTAATGACTTTAGAATCATTGTGTTTTGGACTGGGCCTCTCTTTGGCCCAATTTCATGTGAGACTCAACTTAATTATGTCGGTCAAGGCATACTGGTCAATTCTGTCATTGACTGCGTCGGGCAACAATTTTCACTCCCCGCAAGGAGGGAACCTCATCACGGGGATAAATCCAATTAGTCTTAGAAAGATAATTGCTCCTCGAGGTCATCTTCCGATCCTCTCTGTGACCAAGACTGATCTTCTCCGTGACTAAGGTTGATCCCTTCACACGACCTTGCGTCTGGCGGAGAGCATCCATGACGAGCAAAAACACCTCACGAGCATCCTCCTTGTAGGGTTGACTATCAACGTCTCTGAATATCACGGAGTCTTCGTGGCCCCAGAAAGACTGCATCCATATCCTCCTGATCTTGCAGAGGAAGTCATCTAGGTGGGGGACCGCGTGCTGGTCCCCACTACTCACGTAGGACCTGACAGTCCTGATCTTGCAGAGGAAGTCATCCAGGCGGGGGACCGCGTGCTGGTCCCCACTACTCACGTAGGACTTGACAGTCTCTATTTTGGGTTTGCTTGATCAGTCCAATGAGGAGACCTTGGTCCATCCATAGGGGCTATAAATACCATCTCTTTCGAGAGAGTCAGGTATTGAACATTGCTCACTCTCTTACTTGTTCGCACCATTCCGTATCTCATTTTGGCATCCGAGTGTCTTGCAGATACCCCCATTCACCTCACTCTCAAGTACTACTCGAAGTAAGCCGTGACGGTCCGTTCTGGTCAGGTACGATCAGTGGCGCCGTCTGTGGGAACGCAGCTTCCCCGTCTTTCATTCATCTAAGACAAAAGCTAATCCAACTCCTTTTTGACTGTCATGGCTGATCTCACGGCATAAAACAACCTGAATGTCCATCCCGCCGACATCAACAACAACGTCGCTGACATCAACAACAACGTCGCTGACATCAACAATGTTGGTCCCCCTGGCCTCAACGCCGATAATAATAACAACACCGGTAACAACAACAACGACCACACTGTTGACATGTCCGACCCCTCAGAATATAGAGACAGACTGACTGCCTCATCGTCATCACTGTCTAGACGACTCGAGGATGATCATCTTTCATTCATCCAAGACAAAAGCTAATCCAACTTCTTTTTTACTGTAATGGTTGATCTTACGGCATAAAACAACCTGAATGTCCATCCCGCTGACGTCAACAACAACGTCGCCGACCAAAACGTCGGCATCAACAACGCTGGTCCCACTGGCCTCAACATCGGTAACAATAACAACACCGATAACAACAACAACGGCCACGTCGTTGACATGCCCGACCCCTTAGAATATAAAGATGGACTGACTGCCTCATCGTCATCACTGTGCAGACGACTTGAGGATGATCGACGTCCTCCTCAAAACTACCAATAGAACCAGTTCTAGGAGGTCTCAGTTCCTGCGGGCGCTGATGCCACGACCAGGGCACTGTTCGCAACTATAAATCAAACAAATTACTTGATCTTCTCACAAGGTGAGAGATTAAGGGTGCTCGAAGATTCTCAAAGAGTCCCCAGAATACACAGGAGGCCTGATTCTCCTCCTGCCCATCAGATAAAAGACTGTCTCCAATCTCTCCCGCGGAGACGTAGACGAGATGCCTCTCGAAGCCCCTCTCTCTGACGAACCGGGTGACACACCGTGTTGGAGAGAGATCAGGTCGTTGATACGGGGAGACGTGATCACATTCCCTCACACTAAGAGAGAAGACCCCCTGGAAACAGAAACAGGGGGAATGCCAAACAATGACACCGCCCGAGGGATCCTCCCCGCGACCAGGGCCGCCATCACGACCGCCATTACAACAAGTCGCCTTCTCGATCTCTAGACAGAAGCGACAAAGACGCCCCCCGCGGTTCCCTATCCCAGGCTATTATGGAGGCACCCATTCCCCAGGGTATGGAGAAACCTCCCCATCTGAAGAAGTACGACGTCATTGCCGATCCAGTCGACCACATCGACGGGTTCGAGGCAATGCTGCACTATCATAACATCGGGGGACCGATCTAATGCAGGTTGTTCCCCACAACTCTAAGGAAGACTGCGATGGACTGGTATAAGAACCTCTCCCCGAGGTCAATTACCTCTCGAAAAAACTTGAAAAACCAGTTCATCAGCTCATTCACTGCCTCACGTCAACACCCGAAGACTGAGGCAGCCCTCGAGGCCATCGTCCATAGAAGCGACGGGACCCTTAAGGAGTTTATTGATCGGTTCAACTGCGAGGCCATTCAGGTCCCTTGCACCGATCATACGAAGAGATACCTGCTCGAGAGGGGACTCCTCCCGGGCACAGAGTCAGAAAAGCCGTTGGCATCGAACCACCGTAGATATTCGATGCTCTCCTCGAAAAGGCTAGGGCCTATATGGACTATGAGGAGAGGGAAGCGGGCAATAGAGCCCGGGACCCAAGGAATCGTGGATCAACCAGCAATCTGCGACAACAAGATTCGGGCCCTCCTCGACGAATTAGCGAGAAGAGGAGGGATGACAAACCACGGGATCCTTGCGAGCAAAGAGGGCCCGTAGGGCGATTTACTGAGTACACTCCACTGACAACTTCTCGCTAGCTCATCTTGGCAGATTGTGCTAATACTAATTTTAAGAACGGCGGCGTCAGGCATCCTCGTCCTGCTCTTGCTAAGCCTGGGGCTGACCGGAGCAAGTACTGCCAGTATCACCGAAGCCATTGACACCTGACTGAAGATTGTGTCCATCTCAAAGACGCTACTGAAACCCTCATTAAAGGGGGAAGACTCGGGCAATATAGGCGCGACGACGCCCTCGGCGAGATTTCCGTGACACAAAGGAGGCTGAGGAGGATGCCCGACCATCAGACGAGACGGTCCCCATCCAGACAGCATTCTCCGTTACAAGATCGGGGGACTTCTACGTCCCCGGTGACATCGAAGAGCCTCTGTTCACGCACAGTAGGTGGGAAAGATTCCCCTCCGTCATGGTTATAAATGGCGGGGGGTTCAACGACATATCTATAAACTCCACAAAGAGGAAGCTGGACGAGCTCGTTGACACGCCCCCTCTGCAAGCGGTGACATTCAAAAGGGTCAAGGGCAGATCGGAGCCGATCACATTCTACCTCGAAGAATTGCTCGGAGGGCCCCCTAATTCAAGCATCCCTCTTCTGGTTAGGGCGAGGATGGCTGCTTTTGACATTCATCGCGTCTTGGTCGACGAAGGGAGTTCCGTCGATGTAATGTATAGCCAACTCTTCCAAACCCTGCAGCTCGACGACACCCATCTTTCACCATACGTGGGGTCTGACCTGCAGGGCTTCAACGGCTCGACCTCCAAACTGTGGGGGTACGTGGAGCTCTTAGTCACCTTCAGCGAGGAAATCGCCACCAGGTGTCGCACGCGCAAATCAGAACTAAGAGAGAACAAAATTGCACAATAATGATAGGAAAAGAAATATAGCGGTAAAGATTTGAGATTAAGCCATCAATTGACTTATCTCAACACAATGAAGTCGCCACCGCACTTTATTGTTTCCAAAGGAAAATGGGAAAAAAGCGAACAAAACCCACAATGAAATAAAAGATCAGAGATCGAGGTACGGGGGTCGGTTATGCAAAATGAAGGTGTTAGCACCCTAAGCATCTACGGTACTCTGCAGGATCCACTTTGTTTGGTTTTTTTTAAAAGAAGTGTCATGTAAAGGTTTAATTGCTAAAGGAAAAGAATGAATGAGTATTTGTAAACAAAAGAAAATGAAATGTTTTTTTTAATTATTTTTGTTGCTCGTCTTGGATCGTAAGACTTAGTGCCTACGTACTCCCTCATGCAATGGGAAAGTCAGAGCACTGTAGTTCTGCTAGAAAAGACTTGTCTGTTGGTTGATTTTAAACAAGGAGACAAGTCGTCATTGTTAAGAGAGAAATCTCGACTAACGCCCACAACGTGTGAGAAAGATGGACCATGCGTCAGTAAGAGTGAGGGTTTGAGAATGCCTCTGGTACTCAAGTGGAAAAGTCGACACCTTTATAACCATATGGATAGGAGAATGTTGCTCGACTATCAATGAATCATGTCTCAACTCGAAAAAAGTTTTGAAGGGTAAAGGTGCTCGAGCGCACAAAAAGGTTTGAATGAGTTGAAGTGTTTTTGTTAATTTCGAAAGATGTTGAAGTATGATTAAGTGAATTGAAGTTTGTTTAAAAAAAAGAAGTTTTAAAAGAAAAGGCACTCGACAAAGTCGAGGTTTATTATGAAAGCGGTTCGAGTTTATAAACAAAGAAGATTTTGAAAAAGACGAGAAGATTTTGAAAATTAAAGAATAGGAGAAGATGAATAGAGTG